CGTGGTATTTGGAGCATTCCCCAACAGCGTAATGTCACGTCGATAATCGCATACATCGTCTGGGCCGCCTGTGGTTGGTTGCGGTTGTTTCGCCCACAGGCATCCTAGCTAAAGGTTGTATACGATCTACGTGACATTACGCTGTTGGTGATTGCATTATCATCAACCAACCAACCCTCATTTTCTCTTGGATCAACTGATTTCAGCCGAGCCAATTCATCCAATTAGGCTCATATGAAGTTCGACTGATTTTATTTGAAAACCAGCCTAAAGATGATGCAATTGATTTCGTAGCACCTGACGATACACCCACATTCGTTGTTAACAGTCCTTCCAAAAGACAGCAAAACTCTAAAACTTTCAGACCTAGGGTTCAACGACTCGACGCCTTCCTATGGTTTGAAGCTGGTTTCAGTAAGATTAAGCGGATGTGAGTGTATAAATTCTCTGGACGAGGGCGGAACATAAGTTCATCACTCCAGTTCATCACCACTGATGAAGCTGTATCTTCAGCTTGCAACCTATTACAAATCTACTGGAACATAGTCCGCTAAAGTGCAAAGACACCAGTGCAAACAATTTTTGCTAGGGTTAGCTTTCGGATTATGAGTCAGTCAACGCGCCAGGTATATACTGTCGGGAGTGGGGGATGATGAAAATCACAACAGGAGGGAGTATAAAAGGCCAAGCCAATTTTTAAACTCGGGCATTCCTTTGGAAGCCAAGGTAAATGAGGTTTCCGTTTACTGCAAATAAAAATTCCTAAAATTCCTATTACAATATACGAGACTGGCTCGGCGTAATTTTATGTCTAGATGAAATGTACCTCTAGGCGTTCAGTTAGTTGGGGCGCAGCGCGGAAAATAGCAAGGGGAAAAAATTTTCCCTCGCCGTTTTTCGCGCTGCACCCCAACTAACTGAACGCCTAGAAGAGGCTAAATTGTTTATAAAGCATAGACAAAGTGTTACTTGTTGAGGTTTTCACTGTTAAGGTGGCCGCACACAGTTTTCGCGCGCGCTTTTGCTAATGCAATTCTGCGCGTAAACAAGGATTGCAAAACACAAACATGCCGTCTATAGAGCGATCATTTTATTTACTCAACAGCCGCACTATATGTGCTGTTTTTCTCTATAATTGAACGCAATGTATTGATAGCTCTAGTCTTTTATTATAGAGATATGCTAGAAAAGGTAACGATGCAAAGAACCCAGCAATTCTCAGCTTTTTCTTTGTTACCGAAAGAACCCAGTTGAATGCAGCGCATGTGCAGTNCGGAAATACGCCTATTTCTCGAGAACCACTCATTAGAATTTCACGAAATTTGGCACGAAAATACTTTAGGAAATAAGTAACTGGAATATTGAAAATAATCCATATCAAACTTCAACTTACAGGTAAGTCTCGTTTAATTTTCCAATTCTATCCCATCATCCTCAATGTAGGGATCCCATGAGATGTTGACAGACTGCATTTGTGAACCCAAATATTCGAACTCAACAAGTTTAATGACCAAGATAACTATCAAACAGTAAAGACTGTATGATCGTGCATGACATAGAAACTACAGTGTTCACATTGAACTATTTAAAATAGTAGTAGCATAAGTGCCCTGTTTTTGCACCTCTTTCTGATAATACTGCACAAAGGTACATTCACTGGACCAGCCTGCTGTGCGAAGAATGGTTGCCAGGGGAACATTTGCCTGAGATGCAGCAGAGCTAGATGCTACCCTAATGCTGTGCGGTTTAAAACGACTCAGGTCAACCCCTGCGAGACCTAAAGTGGTTTAACCCTACGTGAAATTGTGCTTTTATTAACTAACCTATAGGGTCTCATAAAACTGATAAATAGGTTTGTAATCTCGCCCCAAAGAGGTTTTGTCCGAGTTAAATACTGCTTAACAACTGAAACTGGACAAAGCCGTTGATCAGGAGAATAAGCTGGAAATTCAAGTTCATGAAGATGATAACCTGGTCTGGTTTGTTTCAACTTGTCTCCTATAGAAACTTTAACAATGGAATCAGTAATAGACATATTACGAATATCGAGTAAGTGAATAGTTTGTATCCTCTGGGCTGATAAGAGGGTTAACAAAGTCACAGTTTTAAAAGTTAACATTTTAAGGTCCAGTTTTCCGTTTGGAGATTGGCTTCTGAGAAACTGAGCAGCAAAACTGGATCCCAGGTAACTGTGTATCGTGGAAGAGAGGGCTTCTCTTGAAAAACCCNTCCAGTTTTCCGTTTGGAGATTGGCTTCTGAGAAACTGAGCAGCAAAACTGGATCCCAGGTAACTGTGTATCGTGGAAGAGAGGGCTTCTCTTGAAAAACCCCTTTCATGAACTTTTTGGCAAGGGGTAGTTCTCCAAAAGGAACTCCAGCTTGAGGAGGTAATACTTGCGATAATGCAGATCTAAGCCCTGTTCAAACAATTCAGCCAAGAAATCCTGAGCCTTTACGGAAGAAACTGAGCAGGGATCAAAACCCCTTTTACTGCAAAAACTGTACCACTTTTTAAGGTAGACCTGGTATTGTTTTTGAATGGTTCCTCTCCAGGAGTTGAGGATAACTGCTGAAGCTTTCTCTGAAACTCCTCTTGTTCGCAAAGAATCCCAGACAACCTGCATGTCATTAGTTTTAGTTTGTTGTGGAGTGGGTGTCTCAGATGACGATTTGTTGAAAGTGTCAGTAAATGATGGGAACATGGTAGAAGAACTGGATGATCTACTAACATCCTTAGCAGACGAGGAAACCAGAACGAGTGGTCCAAAGTTGGACAATGATTATACCGTGTGATTGATCCTGCTCTGCTTTCTGTAGTACCCTGTTGATTATGGCAAAAGGAGGAAACGCATAAAAATTTTGCTCCTTCCAGATAATTGAAAAAGCATCAATTGCAAAGGCTTCTGGGTCTGGTTTCCATGAGACAAAAGGTCTAAACTGAAAATTGAGTCTTGATGCAAAAGGGTCTATCGAGGGTTTACCCCAGAAAGAAGAAATCTTGTTAAAAACAAGTGGGTCAAGTTTCCATTCAATGTCCTGGTAGGTTTTCCTTGATTCGCTAACAGCTATGACATTAAGTTTCCCCGGGATGTAGGCTGTGGTAATCCACAAGTTTCTTTCAATACACCACAGCCACAAATTTCTTGTTAGCTGATTGCATGAAATAGTT